CTCACCTTTGACTTCAACCTTTGACTCTGACCTTGACCTCAGACCCTAACACTGACCTAGATCAAACCCTGATTTACCTATTTTTATTTTTTTACATTACACTTATACATACTTACATTATGTCTTTTTCTTCATTCAAGAGAAGAAAAAAAAACCAGGGGGGCCAATCAGAGGCTATAACAGTGATCAGGTGATCGGGAACAAGGGTACAATTTTCCAAAGCCTTTGATGAAGTCGGAAGTGACGAAACGCGTCAGATAAAACGTTGGACGTACACCAGAAGTTGCAAAGCGGCCATTTTGGAGAGGGTTTTAAATACATTGTTTTTTTTTTTTTATGAATGAATACATGCTGAGATACAAGAATTTTGTTTGTAAGCACAATGTTAGCTAAATAAATGGTCGAATTTCTACTATTGCCTACTACACTATAATACTTTGTTCTGATATATGTTTTGATGCCATTGGAAATCATATATATTCTGGAATGAGCAGAACGTATATCTATTTAATGCTGGTTGATTCTTACCATCTGGTAAGGTGCATGATATGAGGTGGCAGTTTATGAGTTCACATATACTGGTGATTTGTGGAGATGGGGAGATATGCAAGAGTGTATATATTGCTTTAAGGATATTACACTATATTCAAATTTTTTGAAGGTGCATCTCCTACGTTGAGGTGGACGGATTGAGAAGTGAAGTCATGGAATCATTTAAAAGTGGAATTGATTAAAGCTTTTTTAGGGTAAGAGTAAGGATAACAGTTATTTAGAAGTGGCCACATGGTGGAATTTTGCATGATTTATCACAAGTTTGGAAGTACGTTTTGTGAAACATATCACATGTTGGGAATAATGCACTATGTGCGAATATAATTTTTTCTTTTGAGGGTTATTTGAATCAGAAGAATTCTTACACATTGGAGGAAGAATATTAAAGAAGAAAATTATCATATCCACGGTTTCTAGGACATTTGCACATTTAGACGCTGAAAGACTTGGACTATATATTTTGGACTTTCGGGGGAGAAAGTGTATTATTATGGTTTGTGGGGTTTTTGTTGACACTATTGGCACACCGATATATTCACTTACTCTGAAGAAGCCTTTCCATATTTGGGGATTAAATCTCTTTTCATACAGATGTAAAGAGTGCCCCCTTGTCTTCTTGAATGACGTTAAAGTGAATAACTACACCGATTTCACTATATGGACCACCTATGTATTTATACATGTTGATCATATCTCCTCTTGATCTCCTCTTCTCAAGAGAGAATGAATTAATTTCATCTAATCTTTTCTCATAGCTGAGCTGCCTCTTATCAGTTTTGTTGGTAAGGGTCCCAACACTGAACCTTGAGGTACACCACTAACAACTCTAGACCATTCAGAATATGAATCATTAACCACTACTCTCTGAATACAGTGTTTTAGCCAGTTTTCTATCCATTTACGAACTGATTGTTCAAAGCTTGTAGACTTTGCCATGCACATTAGCCATGTGTGGGGAACTGCGTCAAACACTTTTTTCAATCTCCAAGTATACCACATCCACAGCCATTCCTTTGTCTAAGGTTTTTTCTTTGTCTTTGTCTTACCTCCTCTTATAAAGAAATCAGATTTGTTTGACAACTTCTTTCTTTCATGAATCCATGCTGTCTGTTACCTAAAATATTTTTTTCTTTCTTCCTGACTATAGAAGTTAAACTAACAGGTCTGTAGTTACTTGGTAAAAGACTTTGATTCCTTGTTAAATATAGGCACCACATTGGCCTTACGCCAATCCAGTGGTACTATGCCAGTCACTAAAGAGACTCTAAATATTATACAGTGGGGATCGAAAGTTTGGACACCCCAGCTAAAAATTTGTATTAATGTGCATAAAGAAGCCAAGGAAAGATGGAAAAATCTCCAAAAGGCATCAAGTTACAGATTAGACATTTTAATAATATGTCAGCAAAAGTTAGATTTTATTTCCATCATTTACACTTTCAAAATAACAGAAAACATAAAAATGGCGTCTGCAAAAGTTTGGGCACCCTGCAGAGTTAATATCTTGTACTGCCCCCTTTGGCAAGTATCACAGCTTGTAAACACTTTTTTGTAGCCAGCCAAGAGTCTTTCAATTCTTGTTTGAGGTATCTTTGGCCATTCTTCCTTACAAAAGTCTTCCAGTTCTTTGAGATTTCTGGGCTGTCTGTCACGCACTGCTCTTTTAAGGTCTATCCATAGATTTTCAATTATGTTGAGGTCAGGAGATTGTGAAGGCCATGGCAAAACCTTCAGTTTACGCCTCTTGATGTAATCCCCCGTGGATTTCGAGGTGCGTTTAGGATCATTATCCATTTGTAGAAGCCATCCTCTCTTTAACTTCAGCTTTTTCACAGATGGCATCAAGTTACCATGCAAAATTTGCTGAAATTTTATTGAATCCATTTTTCCTTCTACTCGTGAGGTGTTCCCTGTGCCACTGGCTGCAACACAACCCCAAAGCATGATTGATCCAACCCCATGATTAACAGTTGGACAGAGGTTCTTTTCATTAAATTCTGTGCCCCTTCTTCTCCAAACGTACCTTTGCTCATTCCGGCCAAAAAGTTAAATTTTAACCCAATATGTCCACAGAACTTGTTTCCAAAATGCATCAGGCTTGTCTATATGTTCATTTGCAAAGTTCAAACGATGATTTTTGTGGTGAGGACGTAGAAGGGGTTTACTTCTGATGACTCTTCCATGAAGACCATATTTGTACAAGTATCTCTTTATAGTGGAATAGTGTATCACAACTCCAGTGTCTGCCAGATCTTTCTGGAGGGATCGTGCAGTCAAATGTGGGTTTTGAATTGTTTTTCTCACAATCCTGCGAGCTGTTCTGTCTGATATTTTTCTTGGTCTTCCAGATCTTGCTTTAACTTCCACTGTTCCTGATGACTGCCATTTCTTAATTACATTCCGAACAGAGGATATTGACATCTGAAAAAATGCTTTGCTATCTTCTTATAGCCTTCTCCAGCTTTGTGAGCGTCAACTATTTTCAGTTTCAGTTTTCTAGACAACTGCTTAGAAGAACCCATGGTGCTGATTGTTGGGGCAAGGTCAGATGAGTCTGGGCATTTAAAACCTTTGAGATTGACATCACCTGGTCTTCCCAGACGATGATTGAGAACAATCCATGACACTGGCAGGTCTCAGCTTTGCAAAGGGGGCAGTGCATGCTATAAATTCTGCAGGGTGCCCAAACTTTTGCAGACGCCATTTTTTTGTTTTCTGTTATTTTGAAAGTGTAAATGATGGAAATAAAATCTAACTTTTGTTGACATATTATAAGAATGTCTAATCTGTAATTTGATGCCTTTTGGAGATTTTTCCATCTTTCCTTGGCTTCTTTATGCACATTAATACAAATTTTTAGCTGGGGTGCCCAAACTTTTGATCCCCACTGTATATGATTGACTCCCACCCCAAAAGAAATGTATAGTGGGTAGTCTTTGCCAATAAATGCTTTTTTTGTAGTAATAATTAAGCAATGGAAGCAGCAGAGGCAATACAGTCAAAAACTATCATAAGATGTGCACTTTTAAACCAAAAAGCTAAAGCTATCAGTATCATATAAATTGCCAAACAGTGGCAGTGCATAGGGCCCAAGGCAGCAATGTAAGAAAGAGATGAGTCATTTAAAAAAAAAAAAAAGGTATGATATTACAAACAAGGCAGCCCTAAATATTCTAGAGACTAATTGCCCATTAAGCAAGTATATTTCCTTGGCGACTGTGTCAGAGGAAGAGATGAAGCATATTTTGTTCAGATAAAAAAAAAATTCAGTTTACTATGTCACAGTCAAGAGCCATAAATATTGTATGGACATGCAGCATACCATTTAAGTGTTTTTACTAGGACACAATGCAAGACTGAGAGATTCGGCAGGTTTTACCCTTCTAAATTATAAATCAAAGTGTGCTTTTTCAGGGAGACAAGCCAAAAGAACTGAACTGCTTAGAAATTGGATAGTATTCACTCCCTATTTGATAAGATTCTATGTCAGCGTGAGATCCAGTAGACAAACAAGTCACAATTTCTTTTTTTCTCATACCTGAACAATGTAAACATTTGATGTAGACATCTTGGAGTTTTTGTGCTATTCCACTATTCCAGAAGCTTGAGCAAGCAGATTACATGCAAAAAAAGTAAGACTTTAGAGCTATTATAGAGGCCATAACATTTGGAATGAGAGAGAAAAAAATAGATTGTACTTCAAATATAAAATGCGTGTCTTCTTTGGAAAACTAAGGATGGAAAAAATGTGACACTTGTGCAGCACAGTTTTTAGGTCTGTATGGACAGGCCACAATTTCTGAGAGATTGATCAGACATTTAGCATCCTTTAACAAATCATTATTAGTGTCTTTTTTTTCACGGTCACAGAGAGTGGGAATAGCATACAGGTTTACACCACAGCTCTGTTTGACCAGGCTGCAATTTATTGGCGACTGAACATGCATTTAGTATTAGGAAATAAACAATTAGGGGATTTTTTGCACAATGACAATGGAAATACAATTTAGCAACATAACTAACAAATAGCTAACAAGCAACAAACCGGTGTGGGCGAGTAACAATTTTGGAGGGATACAGAAGGCAGGCATTTTACACCAGGGAATTGTATATCAGTCTCAATGTTTTAAAAAGTGAAGGTGGAAACCACATTCATCTTTGCAACAAAATTTGAAGCTTTTGTTGTTAAGATTGCAATTTAGCCACTAGCCTACAGGGCACTTATACCCCCTTCCTGCCCAGGCCAAATTCCAGCTTTCAGCGCTGCTGCACTTTGAATGACAATTGCGCGGTCTTGCAACACTGTACCCATATGAAATTTTTATCATTTTTTTGTGACAGAGCTTTCTTTTGGTGGTATTTAATCACCTCTGGGTTTTTTTTTTTTTTCTTAAACAAACCAAAAATCACTGAAAATTTAAAAAAAAAAACATTTTTCTTAGTTTTTGTTATAACATTTTGAAAATAAGTGATTTTTCTCATTCACTGATATACTCTAATGAGGCTGCAGTGGTGGGCACTGATGGGCTGTACTGATTGACACTGATAGGTGGCACTGATGGGCACTGATGAGGAGGCACTGGTAGGTGGTACTGATGGGCATTGACAGGCATCACTGATGGGCACTGAAAGGCAGCACTGGTATATGGCACTGATAGGCAGCACTGATAGGCGGCACTGACTGGCACTGATAGGCGGCACTGACTGGCACTGATAGGCGGCACTAACTGGCACTGTTAGGCGGCACTGACTGGCACTGTTAGGCGGCACTGACTGGCACTGATAGGTGGCACTGACACGGCACTGATAGGCGGCACTGACTAGCACTGATAGGCGGCACTGACATGGCAATGGTAGGCGGTACTGACTGGCACTGATAGGCGGCACTGACTGGCACTGATAGGCGGCACTGATTGGCAGCACTGATAGGTGTCACTGATTGGCATTGATAGGTGACACTGACTGACACTGATGGGTGACACTGAAAGGCAGCTCAGATGAGCACTGATATGTGGCATTGATGTGCACTGGTAGGCACTGATATGTGGCACTGATGGGCACTGGCACGAGGCACTGATGAGCACTGACACAAGGCACTGATGGACACTGACAGGTGGCACTGCTGGGGCTACACTGATCATCAGGGCACACTGATCATCAGTGCCCTGATGATCAGTGTACATGACCCCTCCGCGGAAAGCCGATTACCATCTCTCTTCTCCTCTCGAGCTGTCAGCGTGACAGCTCGAGAGGAGAGAAATGCCAATAACCGGCATTTCCCTCTTTACATGTGATCAGCTGTGATTGGACACAGCTGATCACATGACCGAGCCGACATCTTCGGCTGTTTTCCTTGATCGGTGATCCGCTGTGTCCGAGGGACACAGTGCACCGCCAATCGCCGTGCTGCGCGCTCCCTGAGCCGCGCATGCGCGGTGAGAATCGGAGGATGTCATATGATGTCCTCCCAGAATAAAAGAACCACCTTGTGCCCATCATTGGACTATATGGCGGGTGGGAGGTGGTTAATATATTAACCAGGTTAAGTGTAATATTTATTATGAGAGTATATGCACTCACCAGCCATTTATTAGGTACACTTTGCTAGTACTAGGTTGGACCCATTTTTGCATTCAGAACTACCTTAATTCTTTGTGGCATAGATTACACAAGCTGTTGGAAACATTCTTCAGAGATTTTGGTCCATTTTGATACGAGTTACTGTTGCCTTTCTATCATCTCAAACCAGTCTGCCCATTCTCCTCTGACCTCTGACATCAACAAGGCATTTTTGTCCACACAACTGCTGCTCTGGATATTTTCTGTTTTTAGACCATTCTCTGTAAACCCTAGAGATGTCTGTGCGTGAAAATCCCAGTAGATCAATTTTTGAAATACTCAGACCAGCCTGTCTGGCATCAACAACCATACCCGACATGATGATGATAATATAAGGCTTATTCTCTACTTTTATTTGCAGCTATCAAAAGAGCTGTATGTGGAGGGTGCTGCTTGGGTGAACTGTAAACTGTGGTCTTTGGTCAAACTGCAAACCGTGGTGCTTTGGTGGAACAAACAACACCTCTATAATCGGTGGTGTTCTGTTGCAAACAAAAGACATCTGTTGTGGTAACTCCAATAGGTTCAAGCTACTGTTGCTGCTGCTGACCCCATAAAAAAGTAGTCCTAATGAGGACCGTTGGATCTTAGGAATTCTTAATGCATGCAGGTGGGCTTATTCCACTCTACCTAGCCACACAATCTGTACTTTGCTGAAAAGTATCAGTACAAATATGCAGCACAGAATACAGTATTGAGTAGTGTAAAGCACAAACTCGGTAGTAGCACAGGGCTGCTGAGAAATTAGTCCTTTATAGTGTGTGGGCTACAACTTAAGTCAGAACCATCATTGGCCAAAGTTTTGCACCTGACCAAGCCTTCCTATAGGTTTTAGATATTTTGTGACTGCTACTTCCGACCTAGCAATTCAGGTTTATTACTGTTTAATAAAAAAGGTGTTGCACCAAATCTTACTAAAAAACTTTTTTTTTGTTGTTCAAATGTATGCCCTTTTTAGGCAATAGTTTGCCTGCTAACCCAAAACATACCAGAAGTTAACAGCACATTTCATTCCCTGCTAACATCAACAGGATATACTGTGAAATTCGAAACAGAATTACTGAATCCTCAGAGAATCGAACCCGGGCAGATTCACCCATCACCAATTGTTTCCACTATCTTCCAATGTCTTGTTTCATTAGGACTTAAGCACTGTTCCTAGCATTTTTGACATTTAGGTTTGATTATCTTAAAAGCTTGCCTCCTTTATTTAATGGGTGTAAACATTGTTTTAATATTAATCATGAAATGAACACAAACAGCAGTTGCCAGAAAAAGAAATGTGAACTTGTGGTCAGGAAAAAAGTGCCCTCTTATATTGATGGTCAGTGGAGATATTGCTGTTTGATATGCTAGCAGTCATTTCAAATGTACCCACTTACACTGGTGGTTTTTAGAGAAGTGCCTCCTTACATTAGTGGTCAGCTGAGGAGTGTTCCCTTCATTGGTAGTTAGTGGCAGGAAGAATGTTTATCACAATGGCAGTCATTCAGAAGAATGTCCTTAATGATAATGGTCACACATCTGCAAGAAAAAACAAACAAGGGCGCACTCTCATCGTGCATTACCGTGGTATACCACGTGTTTAATGAATAGACAAGTAGATATATACTCACAAACCAACGATAAAAACAGTGTGTGTGGTCCACAACAACAGTCACAAATGGCTGTGTCTAATGTGCGGATACTGACACGTTTCGGGAGCTGAACCCCCTTCCTAGGTGAGAAAAGATGCTCTCCCGTGACTGTTGGCATCACTTTGCAATGTATTCTGTGTTGCAAACAAAATGTGAGGTCATGACTGTTGGTCCTGGGAGACTGAGGGGCTTTCAAAGCTCTAGAATGAAAAAAACCTTTACAGAAGTCCAGTGCTGAGCTAATAGCTTTTTGTTAAACCACTAAAAAAACTATTGTTGCTCATAACTGCTCAAATCCATTAGGGAAAAGAGAAAAAATAGTTATAAGTTCTGAGAACTAATGTTTTCCCAGTACTCTTTTACAATGTTCTCTTTTATAAAGCAGGTGGAAAAGGACATCTAGTGGAAATTAGACAAAGTACAAGATGTTCTTATTAAAAGAGAAGTTCAGCATTTGCTTATTTACTAGATCATCAACCTGTTTTTTTTTAACTAACTATGCAATGAAACTCCACCATCAATATATTACAAAACAAATAAAAGATTAAATATTTTTGTAATATAAAGCCAAAGGAATGAAAAAGAAAACATATAAGAAGTAAGCACAAGGCCAAGAGGCAGTGTGAAGGACTGTTTATCTGTACCGATAGCTCTGGAGGCTTTAAAAAGAAAACGGGAAAATTGCTTAATCCATCATTTCTTACATACTTTAACAATTATTTCTGCTTTTTCATTGAAGCTGGTGGTTCTCGGTACAAAGTGAAAAGAAGGAAAGCTGAGCTTTAAATATAAATTTCTAGATTGCTTTACTCAGAATTTTAATCCTTGACAGTTGGAAAAATCTACTCAAGTGCGAGCGGCACAGGCAACAATTTCTGATGTCTGGTTTAGGATATTATTATTAGCAACCCCAGCTTTGAAAATGTGTTAAATTGTATTTTTAACAAAAAGCAATTTTAGAAAAAAGCAAGAAAGTATTTTTTATTAGAGTTTAGTTCTATTTTAATGCCAAGTTTCTAGTAATACCAAGGTATTCTAAGGACCACAGTTGTCAAGCAGACCTCCAATCCAAAATAACAAGATATAAAATTAATAGGTAATTACAAGATGAAAATAGTAAAACCAACTTTTTTAGCAATATTAACTTTCATTGCAGAGATTTCCCCCAACCGTTATATTTTTCTTTCCCCTAGGTGTCCTCAGTAAAATGGCAAGCCTCATTCAATCCAATTACTCAGAGACCAGGTCATCCTGGACCCACCCTAGCCTGTGACTAAATAGTAAAAGGATAATCAGTACAGTGATGATGAGCACATCTCTTTTTTCCTCCTTTGCTTTCCTTTTAGCATGCTGCTTCTCATCACAATAAATGATTGTCTACTTGTATTGCTTCTTTCTGTCATGCTTCAGCACTGCTATACAGAGACTGCAAGAGGTTGATAACAATGTCAATGTCAGGTACATTAATCATTAATCATGCATTAATCTGTGCCCTCTATATTTGCCTGGAGTTCAGTTTTTTTGATATCTATAGAGTGCTCTCTTACTATCTAGTCTGGCAATTTGTGTATTTTTATGTGACTGTGTATTCAACCTGACTGCTTGCCTGTTATTTTTGCTCAGTCATATTCTTGCAACAACATTTGAAACTGAGAGCAGAAGGGTTCAAAGTAGTACAGCAACAGTAATATAACAGCAAGTCAATAAAGGAACCACCACCACACACGAATGTCAGCATAGCTGTCAACATTTCAAATACATTTCTAAAGACACATGTTTTACTATACATCTTGCAAGCCATTGTAGACACTTGGCAAGAGAATTTTTGTTAATTAGAAGCAGGGAACTTATTTAAAATAGGCATTGGTTATATTTCTGAAAAAGTGCTTCTTAAAAATCAAACATTACACATGCAATAATAAATACAGTAAGTATGGTAGTGATTAAAGTTTGTGTGAGTCCTCTTGGTTATGTAAAAAACATAATTAATATTGTGACATTAATAAAGGCTTCAAAAATTGAAAACGAACGAACAGATTGCAAAATATAGCAGGACCAACCCCCAAAAATTCTTCAAATATATTAATAGTAAAAAGGTTTGGTCTGAGCATGTAGGCCCTTTACAAAATAATTTAGAGTGGGTGACTGGGGACAAAGAGAAGGCAAATTTATTTAATACCTTCTTCAGCTCTGTGTATACAAAGGAGAATGGGGGAGCTCTTGTCCATAATGGGCATGGTATTGACACAGCCCCAGATGATCCACATTGGCTCACAACTGATATTATCCAAAAATATTTAGACAGTATAAAGGTGAATAAAGCACCTGGACCGGATGGCATACACCCACGGGTCCTTAAAGAATTGAGCTCTGTCATTTCAAAGCCATTATTTTTAGGGACTCTTTAATGACTGGCATAGTACTACTGGATTGGCGTAAGGCCAATGTGATGCCAATATTTAAAAAGGGGTTAAAATCTTTACCAAGTAATTATAGACTTGTTAGTTTAACTTCTATAGTTGGGAAGATACTGGAGAGTTTAATAAAAGACCACATAGATGAGTTCTTGCTGGAAAAAAATATTTCAAGCAACAGACAGCATGGATTCATGAAAGACAGAAGTTGTCAAACAAATCTGATTTCTTTTTATGAGGAGGTGAGCAAAAC